AGAAACCAGAAAAGTGATTTGTACATGGCCAGGGGGAGGAGCCGGGGGCGGGCCCTGACTCACACTGGGGAAACTGCTCTTTGGTGGAGGATTCTGTCCGCCCCTTGGTGACATGGGGAATCACCATGAACACCTAGACACAGCAGTGATTGTACCAGTGTGTCAAACGGCGCCAAGAGCAAGACAAGACCAGACTGGGGGCCATCGACCAGCACCTCCGATTCCCCAGGAGCAAACACCCCAGCAAGAGCTGCCATGTTCACCGTGAACATTGCATCAGCCACGCCACACCTGCAGAACCCGGCAGAACACCCCGGAAAGAAGCAACTCCCTGTCCCAGAACAAGGCCCCAGGTGACTGGGGTGCAAGGGGGCCACGTCCTGATCAGCACTTTGGGTTGGACAGAGTGGTACCATGTCTATGTGTGGATCTTTGTCACTATCAGGGTGACCCCCAGGGACAGAGGTGACACCGATGGTGACATAGACTTTTCCTAATAGAAGGGTTGGGGCGGTTGGGGTTCTGTGAGGGGGGGTGTGCATTTGTAGAGCCTGTGTGTCTGTGTGTGTGCTCAGGCTTCCATGTGTCCGTATCTGATGACTTTTTGATGGTATCTCGCTGTGGTTATTACTTGCTGTTGAGTCTTGCCATTGGTTTAGCGTGAAGCTAACAGGAGCCACATGCAGGTTTGCCCACGTGCCAAAACCAGGAAATACAGAGCCCTTTAATGCTGATCTGTGCATGAGCATCCTAGCGGCCTCTGTGCTAGCTCTCTCCAGACCTTTCTCCCCTAATTCTCACCTCACTCCACCAGGGAGGCACGGAAGGTGGTGCTGCACAAAGGCTCCACGGGGTTGGGCTTCAACATCGTGGGCGGCGAGGATGGCGAGGGCATCTTTGTGTCTTTCATCCTGGCGGGTGGGCCAGCCGACCTGAGCGGAGAGCTGAGGAGGGGTGATCGCATCCTCTCGGTGAGATCTACTCTTCCTGTAGGACAGGTTGTCAAGGAAGACAAACAGAGTACATTTACTCTGTGTGTGTGTGCGTGTGTGTGTGTGTGTGTGCCTGCCTGCCTGTAGCTTCTCTTGCCTCCTACCTTGATGTAATGTAGATTCCGGGTTCCCAACCGTACAATGACCACAGACCGGTTTACATTGTGCAAAAAAAAAAATCACAGATTAGTAAAACTTAAGACTAATTTAAGAAATGTAATAAGTTTAACCGTATCCATTTCTTTCACATGCAATCGTGATGCGCGATCGTTAGCGGTCACAAAATGTGCGTGGCTTGCAACAATATATCATTTATTCTTGGAAATTAACTAACCCCGCGCAAACCCTCTAGTATCCCGCAATACGGTGGAATATCGGGAACCCCTAAGAGAGATGATTCCTAATGTTCTTCCAGCTGAAATGAACTTAAAAAGCTCAAAGCTGCTTTGGACTTCAGTTCTGGCAAGGGCGGGGGTTCCGGCAGGTGCGCTGACGTATCCTCCTTGTCACAGGTGAACGGCGTGAATCTCCGCAAAGCCACCCATGAGCAGGCGGCGGCGGCGCTGAAGAGGGCGGGACAGACGGTCACCATCATCGCCCAGTTCAGGCCAGAAGGTACAGACCACTCGGTCTCCTCAAACGCAAGATAACAGGAACGGCATCCAGGGATATTTTCGTGCTGCTTTCTCGCTCATTCATATGGGCGGGTCGTACTGTCAGGATTGGTGTTACTCTCCAGTGCTGTGCAGAGACTTTCTGAGGGACAGGTGAAGGTTCCCGGATGAAGGTTGAACTGATCAGATCCCAGATGCACAACCAGCGCATTTCCATTTAAATATCTGACAAGGTCCCCAGTAGCTTCATGTTTAAACTGTAAGATCACTTTCTGCCTGGTCTTCCAATCTAGTTGATGACCACTTCTGGGGTCTCATAGCTGGAAGTTTGTTTCGGCTTTAGGCACAATAAAAACGAAGCACAGCCCAAAGCAGAAACATAACCGACTCAAGCAGTGCTGCGGAGTGTATTTTAAATACAATAAATGCACTAGCGATCCGCAGATTATATGGTTGCCGCCCGCTGGAATAATACCGGGTACCCGGTGTGTAGGTGCAGGGTGTTGGCTGGCGCTCCGCAGAAGGGCGTTAGCCGCTCCTAGCCCTTTAAGGCAGGTAGGAAGCGTATCGGCGGCTCAGTTTCCCGCAGCGCCCCAGAGGAAGCCCTGCTCCGCAAACGAGGACATGCTCTGCCGAGGCTGATTGGCTTCGTGCTCGGACTCACCCCCAGGAGGATCTGCCCACCACGGCGAGCGATTGCTGGAAGCCGGGGACCTACACAGTCTGCGAGAAATAGGCTCCGTGCGAGCCGCGCGTGGGGGATGGAGCGCCCCGGGTGTAGCTAGAGCATGGGAGAAGTGCCGAGCGCAGGGAACCGTACGAGCAGCCAGTAGGCTTGGGGAGGGAGCGGTTTTGGACAGCACCGAAGCAGCGTCCGAGAGCCGGAGCAGCCGCTGCTAGCATGTTGGCTGGAGGTGGCCGCGGAGCCGTGACTCCTGTCCGGCCGGGTAGAGGAGTGAACAGGAGCGCCGCCGCGCCTCTCGGTAAGCGATCCGTGCCAGTGCTGGAGCCGGCTAGGTGACCGTGACCGGCCGTCGATCAGGAGCAGCTCGTCTGCTCCCATTCCGAAGCTGCGCTTATACTTAAAAAGTGAACTGATTTCCTACTGTCGATCTAAACTTGTGTGGTTAGGGTTAGGTTTAGAGTGTTAAAATGAGAGTATGAGTTATAGTTAAGATTTAGGAGTTAGACTTATGGTGTTAGGGTGAGGTTTATTGTGTTAGGGTTCAGGTTACGGTGTTTAAGGTTTGATTTAGGCTTAGGTTTATGGTTAATTTGTTTGGGTTAGGGTTTTAGGGTTTTCAGCTGGTGTCCTTCAGCATCTAGCTGTCCTGTAATACTCAGGGCCCCTGCTGAAGACTTGGCCTATTTAAGAAGAGGCGTCATCACACACACACACACACACACACACACTCATGTACATATATACACACAAACACATACACATGCACACACATACACGCACACCCTCTGTCTCACAGACACACCTTCCTTTCCCTCAGGTCTGGGCTTCAGTATTGCTGGGGGAATTGGCAACCAACACATCCCCGGAGACAACAGCATCTACATCACAAAAATCATCGAGGGTGGGGCTGCGCAAAAGGATGGGAGGCTACAGACGGGGGACCGCCTCCTGGCTGTAAGAGAGAGCAACTGCATTCAGCACTCCCTGAACATACTGAACACACGAGCACACTGAACACACTGACAGAATGACACTAAACACACTCGAGACACAGTGACCAACCAAACACACTCATCACACTGAAAAGACTGATATACTGACACTGAACACATTAATAAGACACACAGACACAGTGACATACCAAACACACTGAGCACAGTGAAGAGACTGACACATTAAATGACACTGTCATTCTTGTTCAGTGACACATTGCTGCCTGTCACACACTCCTGGTCTTGTTTGTGTGTACAGTTCACTGCGTCGGGAGCATTACACATGGGGACACACCGGCGTGTCTGTGTGTGTGTGTGTGTGTGTGTGTGTGTGTGTGTGTGTGTGTGTGTCTTTGCAGGTGAATAACATCGTGCTACAGGATATCCGCCACGAGGAGGCTGTGGCCGCACTGAAGAACACCTCCGACATGGTTTACCTCAAGGTGTCCAAACCCGGCCCCGTGCACCTCAACGACATGTATGCCCCCCCGGACTACTCCAGCAGTATGTACCTTCTGCTGCATCCCCCATCTCCACTTATTCACTTCTTTCCCCCACAAACTCGATGTCACCACCCTAGTGGCTACTCTGGGTATCTCTACTTTTATTCTCCTTCTCTTCCCTCTACTGGTCTCACACTTCCTACAGCCTTCCCAGGAAGGACAGAAAACCACGTAGGCCACAATTCCGGTGTGGCTTACATGAGCGAGCCCCCCCAGAACACTCCCCCACGCTACTCGCCCTTACCCCGACACATGATGGTGGATGATGATTTCACCAGGTGAGTGATGGACAGCAGGGAAGAAATTCTTGCCTTTCATGATGCACTGCAAACCCATTGTAAGATTTTCCATCTGCTGAATTGTTTGACTGACAACAGGTCAGGTTGCATATTCTGCTCTATGGCACCAGAGGGCAACAGAGAGCAATAAAGCAGCTCGTATTCTGTCCGTGAACACTGGCCCGTCACCAGACTCTGAGGTGTATACAGAGTGGATATCGGCCTGTTCCCAGACTCTCAGGTGTATACAGAGTGGATATCGGCCTGTTCCCAGACTCTCAGGTGTATACAGAGTGGATATTGGCCTGTTCCCAGACTCTCAGGTGTATACAGAGTAGATATTGGCCTGTTCCCAGACTCTCAGGTGTATACAGAGTAGATATTGGCCTGTTCCCAGACTCTCAGGTGTATACAGAGTG